TGATGGAAGGAAGATTATGACCTTAAAAAAAGGACTGGTGAGCAGAGCAGGTCTGTGAACCAAGTGTGAGACGAATGTCATCACCAGAAGTCCTTGGTGGGTGCTAGAACATTCAGTAGTAAACTGGAGGTACAGCTCTCCAACTATAACTGAGCACATTTTTATCCTTCATTATATCCCACTGGCACTGACATATCTTGATAAATCCAATAGACTGTAACACTTCAGATAAGAAATAAAGTTGCCTTAGTTTAGAATGACTTGTTTTTAGTGAACCATACGGCTACTTGTAATAAACTACAGCCATTTCCAAGTAATTAGTAAAAAAATTTTGAATAAGCCAGTCTGTTTTCCAGTTGGTGGTTTCTACAATCCTTTTGAAAAATTAGAACATTCCCCTCACTTCCACTCTTGTGATATTTCTATTTTTATTCAATAAAACAAAGTGGGTGTTATATAAACACAAACAAACCCAACCATCTGAAATTTTAAATGTACCTAAATAACAACTGAGCCAATGGACTATTTAGAAAATGTGTGGGAAAAATTTTGATGCTATTGCTATAATCAGAGGCAAATGTATAGCTTTAAATGCTTTTATTGGGAAAGAGTGGAATGAATAAGTGAATGAGTGGATGAATGAATGAATGAACCAAGCATTCAACCTTTCGGAACATAGGAAAGGAAATAACAAGAAAAATATAAATTAGAGTATAGAGAAAAATGAATACAGATAAATTGAAAACTCTGACAAAAATATAAACAATTATGTAACAAAATTTTATCACAAAAGGAGTGAAAAAACAAATATTAGACACTTAATATCAGACCTAAAAAATAAATCCTCAGATAGAAAAGAAAAAGCCTGGGGTGGTGTCAAAGTTTGGATAAGAGGAAAGGAAAATCTCCACCATTGTGGAGAGTTTTTACAGAGGTGATCATGTGATAATGTTTTTAAGTTTTTTGTTTTTGTTTTTAAGCTTTAGAAAAGTTTTAGAAGTTGAATGAAAACAGCTCATGACTTTGGCAATTAAGAAGGCATTGGAGGGGCGCCTGGGTGGCTCAGTCGTTAAGCGTCTGCCTTCGGCTCAGGTCATGATCCCAGGGTCCTGGCATCGAGCCCCGCATCAGGCTCCCTGCTCCAGGGGAAGCCTGCTTCTCTCTCTCTCCCACTCCCCCTGCTTGTGTTCCCTCTCTCGCTGTGTCTCTCTCTGTCAAATAAATAAATAAAATCTTTAAAAAAAAAAAAAAGGCATTGGAGATGCTAGAAGCTCTTTCGGTAGAGTATGCATTAGAAAGCAAGAGGTCAGGTGGGTAGGAAGAGGCAATAAGAGCCACCCATTTTTAGAATTTTGGAAACTGATCCAAAAGGGCCCAACAGTGAAGTCAGGTTGGGTTCTGATACAGGTGTTCTGAGGATTCTTGCATCTTCAGAAAAATGCCCCATTGCTGCTGAGTTAACCCGCTAAATGAGGTTGTGCCAAAAGTAAGGTCTTGGCAACAACTTCAAAACAATCGCTCCTATATGGTACTATTTTTATTGTTATTTAATAATAGTTTAGACAGTAATAATGAAAGACTTTGATTACACAAAATTAGTTACTCATTAGATTCTTTAATGTTAACTCCAGAGTTCTCTTACTATTTATTTCAACACTGTTGACACATTGCACTCCATTGTTAGTCCAACCCAGTATTCGATGTCCATCAGATCTCTGACAACTGCATTAATTTTCATTAATTTAGCACACATGACTTAATAGTGTACTTCACTGCCAGTAATAATTGTTGCAAATTGATTAGGATTTCTTGTAAAGAATGCCGCTACTGAAATTTAAGATCTGTGTTAGCTACCTTTGGCCAAAAAATTATCATCCTGCAGAACAAACAGACTGTGGATAACGTGCTTTCCCTAGAAGTAAATGGTTTACAATTGTTTATATCTGAAAAGATGTAGCGTCACCTTCAGTAGTTGTTTTGAAAAGAAATATTCTTCTGGAAGCAGTGGGTAGTGGATGAGGGGGAAGTTGGTTGAAAACAAAAAATATTCAAAAAAGGAAAACAGTGTTCATCCCCTTTTAAGAGCTATTCAGATGAAAAATTGCTCGGCATGAGCTTGATCTATATGTTTCTCGTGGTTATTAGTAGTAATGAAGATGCATTAACCATATTCTCTTGATAATGCTCTAGCAGTTTCTTAGTACTTTTATCAACATATAAATTTTACAACTGGAAGTGTGGGAATTTGACTAGTACATTTTTGTTTATAAAAAAGGGTAACAACATTATAACTTCTTCATATCTGTGAATTATGAATCTTGACTTGCAAACAAGCAAAACTAAAATGCAATAGAACTTCAGTATCATAATAGCTCTTCTTCCTACTGCCATGCACAAGAAATGGGAATGCATGCAGGCTGCTGAGTAGAACACAGTGCCAGAGGTAAATGCCTTACTTAATCCACAATGTATGAGTTCTTTTCATTTCATTCATTCTTTTTTCAGTAAACATGTATTGAGTGCCTTCTCTGTTGCAAGCTGTAGTGTCTGTAAATTAAGAATGCTGTACTTCATTAGGAAGCAGCTGGAAACTGGAAGTAAGTGGTGCATAATCACTATATATCCTTATCTCCATTAGGAAACGTGATTTTCAATAATTTTTGGAAGGGCATTAAATAGTTCAGTTCTTTAAAGATAAAACTTGATGCAAGGAGAATCATTTGAAAAATGATTTTTTCACATTTCATTGAGTTGTAAATGAATAGATCTTTCTCTTATAAAGCTGAATTCCAGGTTTTAAATTTGATTTGTCCTATCTCCAAAGTAATGTAAGTCTCCAGTACCTAGCCCATAATATTAGCTAGTACCATTAGAGAAAAACTTTATGAAAGGAAGAAGCATAGTGTTCTTTTTATTATAGAACTATGGATCAGTTCTATCTTAGAGCTATATCTAGTAATGCCAAGGATACGAAATGGAGCAGAATTACTACCTAAGAGCTGCCAGGTAGATCTGAGAGAAGGAAATGATAGTAAAATTCAAGTTAACTCCAATCAAGTAAATGTATCCCTCAAACTTGATTTTCATTTTCTACTTTTCTGAAAGAAAAAAAGCAAAATGAGAGAAAATAAGCTTCTTGTAATGATTGGGGCAATAAAAATACAAACTTTGATACTGTCATGGAATCAGACTACCTCCTACAACTAAAATAATTTATAATCATATCTGGTCTCCAAGATAATATCCCTAAGATACTTCAGCATTATGACTCATCTGGGAGGTAGTCATTCAGTAGTCATTCCGTTAACAGATGTTTACTTGGTGTCCTCTGTTTGCCGGAGAACAGTAACACATGCTGGCGAACCATGGCAGCCGAGCAAGGAAGTGCGTGAGAGGAGGGGTGCTTAAGGAGTTCGCTGCTGCTGAGGGGAGGATAAAGTAAGAGTGGGCTGTGGGCTCTGCAACATGCAGATCACTGGGGACGGGGGAGAGAGGTTTCTAAGCAATGGCAGGGAGGCCACAACCAGACTCTAGTGGGCTTAGGACCGAAGAAGCAGAGGTAGCACGTAAGATAGCTTTTTGAAAAAATACGTTGTGATGAGGGAGAGAAGAGGGACGGTAACTAGAAAGGAATGAGGGTTCAAGGATAAGTTCGAGTGGGTGTGTGCGTGTGTGCACATGCACAAGCTCACAGACACATACACACACCATGGTTGTATGCTAATGGGAATGACATATAGAGAAGGAGAAAATGATGATTCAAGAGAGGGAAGTGCAGGGGCAACAATCTCGAAAGATCAGAGGATGGGATCCAGAGCCCAAATAGAGAGGCTGGCCATGGCTAGGAGCTGGGACTCTTCACTGTACAGGTGGAAAGACTTAGACTACAGGTAGGTGCAGCTGCCTTTTAACAAATATTTATAAAACTCCTGTTATATGCTAGGCAATGGCAATATAGCAGAGAGACAAAAATCCTTGTCTTCATGAAACTTTCATTAGAAAGGGGATTGGAAGAGATGGACAGGTAATAACCATTCGAGTAAAATAGATAGTATGTCAGATGAAACAAAGTGCCACCAAGAAAAGTAAAATGGCGGCACCTGGGTGGCTCAGTCAGTTAAGTGTCTGCCTTTGGCTCAGGTCATGATCCCGGGGTCCTAGGATGGAGCCCTGCATTAGGCTCTCTGCTCAGCGGAGAGTCTGCTTCTCCACCCCGCCCCTGCTTCCTTCCCTCCCCCCACTTGTGCTCTCTCTTTCTCTCTCTCAAATAAATAAGAAAAAAAAAAAAAAACAGTAAAGCAGGGCAGTGGGGAAGGAGGATTTGGACAGCCAGGGCTGGTCAGGGTGATAAAGGTGGATTGCAATTCTCAGGTAGTAGGCAATTCTATATAACTCTTATTGAATTTATTTTGTGACTCTCAGACACATTTATTTTTCAAAATCACATTAAATGTGGCCTAATACGCATACGCCAGGGCTTGGGGGAAGTCTACTGTCCACTTTGTTTCATAGGTGCCACCTTCTGTGAGTACCCCAAGGCTTGCCCAGCCCTGTACCTCTCCTTTAGAGTCCTCATCACAGGTTTTAACCTTGCTTTATTAATGTGATTATATATTTCTTCCCTTCCCTATATATATATATATATATTTTCCCTAGACTGGAAATTCCAAGAGGGGAACTGTGTCCTGGACAGTTGCATCCCCAGAACCTAGCACAGTGTTAGCACAACATAGGTCCCATTTGTTCAATGAATGAATGAGTGAATGAATGAAAAGTAAAAAGACCTTTTTCCATACGCTACCTCTTGAAGAATCTTGTTTTATTATTCTGTGATCACTTTTAAGTTCTTACTTCGCACTTGGTATAGCTGATCTGGTAAATGGCCTTTTTCGAAGCAGGTAAGATACGATTTTATAGCAATGGAATATGTGAAATAGGGTTGTCCTCTAACTTAAGTGATGTTTCTCCACCTAATTTTTTTTTTTTTTTTTTTTTTACAGAACCAATGCCAAAGGTGCTCCCCTGAATATAAATAAGGTCTCTAATAGCCTGATTAATTTTGGAAGAAAGCTGATTTCTCCAGCAATGACCGCCCCAGGCAGTGCGGGCGGCCCTGTACCAGCAGGCGGTAGTGGCAGCTCGTCCCCTGCTGGGGTTCCTGCCGTGGTTCCCGCCGTGGTTCCCGCTGTGGTTCCCGCCAGGACCTTAGCAGAGGTCCCCAGGCATCATTTGCAGCAGCAGCAGCAAAGACTGATGAAATCAGAGAGCATGCCCGTGCAGTTGAACAAAGGTGAGGAAAAAATAGCAACAAATGTGAAGAAAACACCTGCAGTGTAGCCTGGGATTTCCTCACCTGCCTGTGAGGAACCAGCCTCCTAGAAATAGAGATTAATGCAAAACTGAATCGTAAAAGCTCTGTTGTATTACATCCTTTTTAAGTTGGAATATCAGATACTCTAGTGTTCTTAATAGGAACGTGTTAGCAGGTGATTTGCTAAGGTACTTCGTTAACATGTATGTCCTAGCATACGTGCGTTTGAGTCCCGCGGATGCCCACAGAGTATGGCCCAGACTGTCGCAACACAGAACTTGCAAGCAGTTGACTGTGATCCTGCTCCCGTTGTGTCATGGTGCCTCTGGCCAGAAGAGCCAGAACTGAGAAGTTGCAGCAGCATGGGCTTTCCTAGTCAGTAGCTGCCCCCCACGCCGTTGGTGTTGGCGGAAGCGTGCCCCCGGGCTTGCAGCCGCTCATCCAGCTGCTTTACGCCGAGGAGGATCACCTAGACCCTTCGGGGGGGGGGGGGGGGCAAAGCTCAACGGATCCGCAAGCAGCCGAAGTGAATGAGTCCACACACTAAGATTTAGGGCCGTAGAATGTCGGAGCAGAGGAAACGTGGGAGACCACACATCATCCCGGGCTGTGGTCCGATGAGCGGGGGCGCTGCGGGGAGGGGCGTCCTCGCTGCCCGGCCTCACGCAAGCGCATTTTCTGTGTCACGGCCTTTGCGATGCTTCATCCCCCGCGTGAATTTTACTCAAAAGACAGCCCTTCAGGTTCTTACCCAGAACCTTTATGCTCTTCTTTTCCACAATTTACAGAGAGCTATGTATTAAGTACCTCTATTCATAGCAGATTAGAAACAGCTGCACTTATTTTTAGTGGTGGGACTCTGCTTTCTATACTATAGAAGCAGGAAATAGTAACATGATGGCAGAAAACTGACAGAATTCAATCCTAAGACCTCACAAAGTACAGAGTCTGGCCATTTAGTGTCAGGACAAATATCCTGACCCAGGCCTCCTTCACGTCTTAAAGGGATCCCTTGTTGTAGCCATGTTCAGTAACTGGTGTTGAGACTAACCATGGTGCTTTTGGATCAGTACGAAGACCTTAAACCATGTTCCATATACTCTGTGTCAGAAGATTGCATCCAAAATTATTTAAAATTTTAAATTATTGGCATTTCAACTGGTAAAAAAAAATTAAATGGACTTTATTCCCCAATGGCACAAAATAATGAGTACTATTCCATAATGAGTATATGTTTATTCTCCCGTTACATGGTGTTATCTATCATTGCCTATATGAAGTATTAGACTTTATATAGTTAGTATATAAGTTTCTATTAGAATGTTCAGTTTGCCTTACATAAGATTATCTTGTTTAAAACTACATTCTTTTTAATGTAGAGTTATCACACATGATTTAAAGAAAAGAGGACTTCAGATCATTAACACATTGTAAATGTATTTTAATGCCAGGAGACATGCCCACTTTCAGAATGGAAATGAATGTTATTTTATATATTTCTTAATTGTACTGTTTTATTGTTCTAACCAAATATGATTTCAGTATTGCTTTGATAACAAGCCATAGTCAGTAGTAATTCTAACTGATGGCAGGCAAATGAGTCAGAGAATCTCTTAATGCTGTAGCTTAAATTTTCTGAGGAAGCAAGCCAAATGACTGTAGAAGTATAAAGTTGTATCTCTAAGGAAATGTCAAGTATTAATACCACAGTAAGTGAGAAAGGAAGTGCATGAGGATGGAACAATTGATGAAAACGAAGTCCCCAGTTATAAGGAGACAGCAGAGCACTTAAGCAAAGTATTTGGAACATGAGTATCACTAGGGCATTTTGTAACTGATCCCTGTGCTGAGAGAAAGTCTCCTTGTTTGGCAACTCTTCTTTTTATTTCTGGTTCGTTCTTCTCATGTCAATCATGAAAAGCTTGTCTACCTTCATCTTAAAGATAAATATTCCAGCTACTGCCCCTCCCTGCATAAAGGTTTGAAGGAGACAGAGTAAAAGGCAGAGAGAGCAGTTGATGCCAGTAGATGCCAGTATAGGTCGCTGCTCTTCTCTCGTGACTCACCCATGAAGTGAACCGTAAGCACAGTCCTGATGCCTTCTGACCACGTGCTTCCGCACCCTGAGGTGAGAGGTTTGGACTGCTCCCGGGGGAGCCTCCCAGCTCCAAACAACTATCAAGATGTATTTGTTAACTCTACAAGGAAAAGTACTTCTCCGACATTGGTTCTTTACGCTGGTGTTTCCCACAAGTATCCTGCCGTGCTGTGGCAGTGACAAATCTGCACGTGTGTCCCCTGATCCCAGAGATGGGTGAGCACGGTCTGCAGCCTGTCAGGAGGCTTGTGTTGGAATATGGCTTCTACCTGTCTCAGAACAGTCTTCTACTAGTGCCTTTGAGGAGAGAGAACGAATTAGCCCTTTTAGTGTACTCTGCTGGAAAGTTTGAAAGTTGCTTTGAAAAATGGTTGTTTCTAAAAATGAAAATGCTTATAGTCTTCGTAGTTGAGTTAACTCTCGATGATGTGTGCTTATGTAGGGGAACAGTTGTAGGGAAAACCCAAAATTCAGGTATATGTTGCCAGAAATGCAAACTAGTTTGTGTATGTGCTGGGAGCGGGGTCGTGAAAGAAAGAAGAGGGAGCACAAATGTTCCTCCGTAATTTTCTGGTGGTATTTAATATTAAAATGAGTTTTCAGTCTCTAAATATACACTAATAGGTGATCCAAAGGCAGCAGAGAAAAATGGAATTTTTTCCATTTTTGGAAAATTGAATTGAAAATCTCCTTCAAATATATAAAAAAGAGACTCCATTTATCAGTGAACAGAGAGTTAACTCTATTAGGAAAATTCAGGACCTAATAAACTCTGCTAAAAGCTGCTTATTGCTGTTTGGAGTGTGTACCTATTTATAGATTTTATTTCAGTTACAGGAGATATATATACATATATCAAAATGTATGTACTATTAATTGATGGGAACTATATGATTACAACCCAGTAATTTCCAGATGAGCTGGCTGTGCTGACAGTTACAATTGTAGCAAGTGGTCAAGGCACTGAGGGTATGTTACATCATTCAAAAACTGATTTTTTACTGTTGTATAAAAGCTACAGGAGAAGGAAGTTTGTTAATTCTGCATTATCAAACATGGAAAATACGGTGTCTTTTAAGAAGGCTTGGTTTTTAGCTCGTTAACTTCAAAATAGCTTAGGCCTTCAGATGCTGAGAGTCTGATTCTGTTGACAGTGACTGTGCCTAATGTTGAACTTGGTCATCCAGGAAGGAAATCAGAGAACCGAAGTCTTCCTTCTCAATGGGAGTGTACCTCAAGTTCTTCACAGAATTTCCTGTTGTGCTCCTTTTCCTTTCTTTCCTGTACTTTTAAAATGCACTCCTTTTCTCCCCATTTCGTTTGAAGTCAAACACTTATTTTGAGCATTTCCCATAGGTCCAAATTGTGAATGAAATCTTGCCTATAATAAGTATATCAAGTTTAAAGGGTGTGCAGTTCACAGATTTATTTTTACATGTTAACATTTGTAAGTACATGTGGTAACTTAGGAAATCTTTTCAGTACTTACTATGAAATTAGAGCTTGTTTAGGTATTTATCTTATCACTGAAGAAATGGGTTTTTCACATTGAGTTAAAAATAATTTCTCTCTGTTACAGGAGGAAATCAGCTTCAAAAGAATGCCTGCTTCTTAATAAATGCATATAACTTATTTTGGATTAAGAATTTTTTTTAAAGAAAGAAAATATTATACTACACTACTGTTTCTAGCGTAATGAAATCTCAGCAAAATCTTGATTGCTCAAGTTTTCCTCTGCTTTAGACTAGGGGCAATTTGTTGTTTTGTTTTTTTTTCTTGAAGGAAAACATGCACAGAAGCTTTTTAGGGAACACTTTTTAAAAATTATTGCCTTTAATATTTTATATTAATTTTTCTGAGATTGTATTTTGTTTTACTGTACTTTTAGTAATTAGATTGATAAAATGATTAAGTATGAAAAAAAGTAAAGTTGATTTTTTTTTCCTTTTTATGAAATCTAATTATTTTTTCTTATGAAATCCAGGCGATGTAGTTACAGGAAGCGATGCTCAGGTTTCTGTTCCTGTCCAGACTCTAACTGACCTCCAAGGTACAGTTACCATGGCAACGTAGTATATCTCTTTGCCTGCAGTATTATCATTGCCTACTCCAAAATTCCATTTTTCTTTTTGCCCACCCTCCATTCATACTGTTGATCAGTTCACTACCATTGTTCAGCCACGGAGTGGCACTGTTGTTCAGAACAAAAGTCCCCTCTCATGTCATACCTTAGTGATGCCAAATCTGGCTGTGATGTGGGTTTTCTATGAAGTTTGCACCAGCCTCTTTTCTTGCAAAATATGGTCACTCTATATTTTGTGGTTATTTTAACACTACGTTTCATTTGGAAGGAACACTGAGGTGTTCTTTTTGTTGCATAGGTGCTTTGTGCCAGTATTTAACAAATCAGTTTTGAGAGTAAATGACTTATATGCTGTTTGGATGCATATTATTATATGTATTAACCAGAAATACTTACTATATTTTACCTGAAAGAATTATAACTTGACTTTGAAATAATTGTTTAAGTACAGGCTTTGTATTTTATAAAAAGAAAGTACAGGCTTTGTATTATGAATCTTATTAATAGAATCAAAGTCCAGTGTGACACATCTCTGACTAGTAACTGGCAATGATTTAAAATAAAAAGATCACATTTAAATACCCTCTTGTTTAAAATCTAGAAAAAGGTTTTTTTCAGGAATACAAAATAATAGTAATTTACAGTTAGCACCTCCTTTGGGATATTTAGATGTGTAAATATTGAAGTTGTTGCATTAATCTTTTATTATATAATCTTTTAGATAAAATATGCTATGAAGAAAATTTCTGTATTAAGTGGAAGCCTAGACTGACTTTAAGAATCTCCCATTCAGGGACA